AAGTAAAATTTCCATCATTCCTTACGCCAGCTGCTCGCGCTGAAATATCTTTCCCTTCTTGGCATTTTACAGAAATTGACTCAGGCTTTCAGAAATAAGTAAATAGCAAATGCCCGAATACAGGGTGATTAAAGTCAAAACTCTTATTGCAGAATATTTTAAAAAGAAGGTTGGCAAGATTTTTGCTACTAAAAGTGCGCCATTGTTTTAAATATGAAGCGTATGGTACCAGAAGCGTATGGTTTAATTTTTGAAAAACTAATTGAATTACTAATTTAATTTACTAATCACAATTTTGAAATAATAAATAAACAAAATAATTATGTTTTGAAATATGCATGCTTATAGATAGTAAAGATTATGCATGTATGTGAAAACTCAAAAGTACGTAATTAAAAAATAACACAGAGTCAAACTAAACTAAAACTAATTACAATTTTCATAAATTTAATGCCAAATTTAAGCCTTATGTTAATTTAGTAGAATAGAGGATATAATTGGAATTACCGCTCTTAAGCTGTTCTAATAGACATTTGTAAGTCTGAATATTTTGATTTCAAATGTATCATAATTGAAACTAAACATTCACACTTTTAAGTAGTTGAATAAAATACGATTATATCTTTAGGGCAGATTGTCTCAAAATTAGGCAACTACATAATTTTATCAGCTAAGTTTCAAAGTATTATTATTCACTTTCAAAATAAGATAATTTTGCAAGATTATTAGTTCCAGTTCTAGGCTGTTGGTGTTATTAAGTAGAAAATATTAAGAAATTATAGCAGGCACGTTATCTTCAGAACTACTGAAAGAATTTATGAAAAAAAAATACAAAAGGTTTTAATTCCACTGAATCAACACATCTGGAAGAAAACTTTTATAATATTAATAGATAACTTTTATATACGATAATAGAAGTTTCATTTTCCTGAGTAAAAGTTCCATTTGTTTTACATTAGAAAATGTGATAATGAATTTTTCATTAAATGAGATTTCAGTAAAGTTAACGAAATATTATGCGATACGAATGCATTTACTTCACTCATTATATTAGCGACGTGATAGCCTTCCTCTACAGTTTGAGATTTAATTTGCCGTTGTATCAGCTAAACATCTGAGACCGATTAACCAACCCTTTTTACTTCCTTGTACGAAGTGAAAAGAAAGTATTGTAATCGCGAAAAGTTTCCGGCATCATATTTTAACAAAAATATCCATTTTGACCGCTATCGAATGCAATTTAACGATGTTTTTGCGTGACATCTGTACGTAAGGACAGAATAAAAGCCTCGTTCCTCCAAAAAATTATAAAACTGCTTTAAAATGAATTCTGAAGAGAATTTTTCGTGGTGGCTGTACGTACGTACGTACGTACACACGTACGTATGTATCTCGCATAACTCAAAAACAAGTAGCCTCAGAACGTTGAAATTTTGTATATAGGACTGCTATAACATGTAGATGTGCACCTCGTATTTTGGTTGCAATCGGCAACACCAAACGTTAAATATATTTATATATATATCCACTCTCTTACCTGGCTCAGTGATCTCAGTTTCTTTACTCTTATATGTTTGTAAATTGTGCATTTTTTGCTTTAAAAATGATTGAATTATGTTGTTCTTATCTTCTGGTTAAGGTTTTTATGTCTTTAGTAAATCTGCAAGCAATATTTGTACAATTAATCAACAATTTAAAAGCTGTTTAGGTGTGGTTAAGCCTAATTTTTAAATAACATGGCGGAAATGTTTGTTTACATTTGAAACAGCAGAATAGTAGATTTGTTGCCAATCTAGAGAGACCTTCGCAACAACAAAGATAACGCCTTCATTTATTATTGCGAATTAAATCATGCTTTATCCTTTCTGGAATTTTTTCGAGGAAAAAAAGTGTTTAAGATTTACTTCGTAATTTTTAATATATATATTTTGAGCTTTTATGTATTTTTGCCTTGTCGCGAAGTGAGAACTGAATTACTTAATTGAGAAATACTAAATCGTCTGTGAAAAACTGTTTCTTTTTTTTATTATTATTTGCTTAATTTCTTTTATACATCGTTCTAGCTTTATTATAGTATTTGAATAGAACATGTGGCAACGATTAGATAATTCTTCAAATGATATAAATTTTGTGCAAATATCACTTAAAATATGAACGAAATATAACGCTGTTAAGTGAACCTAGCACCAGAGTGTCACTATGGTAAACAAATATAGTGAATTTTAAAGAGTGCATTTATTCTATTGTGGTTTATGCGCTGTCGACGAAGTAGATTTAATTTAATCCAATAAAATTAAATGAAATTCAAGAAAAAAATGCGTATAATTTAATATTCCTTACAAGGAAATCATGTGGTGTACACATCAGATTTTTTTAACTGATTATAAAATTCGTCTTGTGGGTAGTATAAATTCTTTTACGTCTCGTTAAAAGAACGACCCATTGCTTTGGCACTTTAACTCAGTTATCACACTTCAATATATGAAGAAAGGCCCAAGAAATTATAGTCTTTATCTTCCAAAAGTAATTTTAATATTCTGAGCTGTAGTGCACTTGATTTTAGTGTAGAATTAATTAATCTCTACATGAACTGAAATTACATTTTCTAATCCATAATTCTGTGCCTAGAAGCTTCTGATGTCAGTACGCAATAAAGTTAGGAAACACTGAAATAGTCTCATGAAAAGTTAGTGGTAGGAGAGGAGGAAATAATTCTGCTTCAAAAAGTGGGAGCTCAACAGCGGCTGAGAGATAAATTTGCTGACCATGGTAGTTCGACCTAGCTTCAAATCCCGATGGACGAGTTGATTGCATGGACATTTTCGTGGTTTTCCCCATGTGTAACGCGGATACAGGTCAGGAAGTTCTCCACGAAGGCAGATAAGCCTTGACGTGCTTTGCGTCATCATACAAACTAAACGAAACCTTCAAAAGTGGAACGGAACTTTCTCTTTTCTCAGGTGTAGTTAGGTTGCTCTTTGAGATGCGCTTTGAATAACATATTGAAGAAGTTAAATTCTTGTCCAATGTCTGCAAATGGCTTGCGTAAAATGATTTTAAATTTTGAAGAATCTGTCGACATCAAACTTGGCAGGGGATGGGAACCAGTCGACGGCTAAATAGTAAAAAATGTAGCAATGTGCTTACCAGAAGATGGTTATAGATGTAGTTTTCCAATGCACCTTTGTAGCTTTAATAATGACTATTTGCTATGTCATTCGCGAATGTCTGTTACCTTTGTATAGTTTTCCACTACGATAAACCCCCAATTATTCTCGAAGCGTCAAATTTTGAAATATTCTTCTCCTTTTTGTGAACATAATTTCTGTTTACTTAATGCAACTTTGTTACTCCCCAAATTTTTTACAAAATTTTAGACCATCTTGACCACGGAAGTATTATTTCAGACTTTTTTGAAGTATGAACTTGAATATAATCTTCTTGTATTTGCACTACTTCCATGCTAGTTCTCCTCAAAAGTAATTACGCATTTGAAGTACTATTTGTTTAAAGGCCCCGATAAATCTGATATACTGCCATTTGAAGTTAACTTTTTTGAGTAAAATTCAAATTATTCACTTGACGTACTCACAGTGAATGAATTGCTCATATTTTTATCACATTCATGTCTGAATTACTTAACCTACTTCATTTCTTTATTATCACGTTAATTATTTTTGATTCAGCTCTCGAATTTTCTGCGTTCAAGAATATCATTCCTGAAAGTAGAAGGAATGCTTGAAAGAAGACAGCTCTTAAATCGGAAAACCATTATTCCAAATGTTTCTTGAAGGTAAATTTTTATATAAAACTAAGAATAATTAAAGAATAACCGTGGATGGACTTAAATCTTCAAACTGTAAAAAATAAGAACTTATTGCTAATTAATCCGAAAGAATATAGAAAAAGATCTTCCCTTTTAGAGCTACGAGAAAAACCACTGAAAAGAGAAGTATTAAAGCGAGTGTTCCAAAACGTGATACATTCACTCTTACAGAAATACTAACGCTTGTCCTGTTGAAAATATTTCAGGATTTCTAAGAAACTTTGGCGTTTAAAAGAACACTTAGCTAAAGGAAATAATTTGAATAACAAAATAAATCAAAGGCTATGATTTATTAAAAATAGTATTTTGAAGTTTCTGCCCTTTAGGTTGGTGTGGTATATTTGATTACTGCAAAGCACACGAGGGCTACCTCGCCTAAGGGAAAGGAGGCCTTTGTGGAGCACTCTCTAAGGGAAACTGGTTCGTATAAACTTTACACATGCGAGAGAAAACGCCCATGCAGCCAGTCCGTTCGCCGGGATTCAAAACCCGCACCGAACTACCAGTGTTCAACCACTTTACCGCTTGAGCACCGATGAACTCCTGGTCATCTGGGATGGGCTAATCTTTAGCGATTGACGTCAAGTTCAATATTTTTGGAGTTGATGGATAATGTTATGTTTGGTGGAAACCTGAACGAAATCAACTTTCTGAAAGAGTTTCAAGAGTTGATTCAGTACTTGTAAAGGTTGACATGGCTGTAGGAAAGTTTAGAGTCAAGAAAATAAGTGAACCACTTAAATGTAAAAGTATTTATGTAAAAAATGGAAAAGAATGACTTGCCAAATAAAGTTGACTGTAAATAAAGCCATCGATAACCGGCGCAGAATCACAGTCACAGTGATAGTGTTGAGTTATTCAAAGCTCTTCTGCTAAAATAAAATACACGCCAGTTATCATTTGTCTTCTTTGAATCAATACTGGATTTTGTTCATTTATTTTTATTTTTCTATCTCTAAATTTGGAGTTATGTTTCAATGCGTAAATTTAGAGAAGATTCTGAAAAGACCGTGTAATTTACGTGCCTTCATTGAAATTATTACCTAAACTTTGATCTTCTATCTCTTGTGTTAAAAATTTTATTCAAAAATTCATTTTAAACGTTTGAAAATTCGAAAAAATGTAAAGAAAACTTATTTTAACTAAAGTATAAATTATTGTAAAAACTCTTGAAAATTTTCCATTTCTGATCCATATCGCACACTTTAATCAGTATAATGTAGTTTAAAATGTGTCATATATTACATACATACATTAAAATCTAGTAACCAATAGAAAATATATAACATACTTATACATGTTAAATACACGATGCAAAGCATTTTATCATGTCATGTAATTTTCACTGATACTTCTCAGTTCTTCTAATAGCTTGATCATACACTCAAACACACTGCAGTTTGATTCTTTAGGTAAAATCATTATCCATTTTATCATTAAATATATATTATGCACATAAGCCAAATGATTATAATCATTGCAAGAATGCTGTAAGCCAGGGTTGGCCAAACGTCATGTCGGTAAGAGCCGTACATTTGAATTCAAGAATGTTCGAGAGCCGCATCTAGATTTTCTAAAAGCCACAAGTTCATATTTACATCATTATAGAAGTAGTAGAGGAGGATTTAAATAGAAAGAAATCCCTGATAACTTTGTAAAAAGAGTCTAAACTAATTAATTACTTCCTTTTGGAAATATGGTAAGTTTTAGCTTACCATATTTCATACATATATTTTATATGCATGAGCCGCACAAATTGCCTGCGAGAGCCGTATCGAGCCGTATCGGGCTATAAGCTATGAATTGCTTTTTGTTTGGCGTGCCCGTTATGCTTGCGACAGAAAATCCTTTGGAGAACTTGTGTGTTTCACTTTTTCTGTGTTTCTTTTGATGTGGATGTCATCGTTTAAAAGGTGACTTTTACACAGAAATGGGCTTCCAGGAATTTGATGTTCCCTCCAGCGTACGGAAATTAAGTAATAACCTGGATTTGATACTTGGTAGGTGACGTCATAGATGTCCTTATACGTGTACACAACGCTGATTGAAGTGACGTCATGAACGCCGAATCCTTGAATGCTTGCTGATAAATTACCATGACCAGCTGCTTTGGTCAAAACCTGGAAGTATAAATAAAAAAATATAAAGGGATTATCTGTACAGAATTGGAAGAGAAATAGTTTGCAGAATTATTTCAAAATCATTTTAATTCCGAGAAAGACAAACTTTTTTTAAGCTGCGCACTGCTTCGTTTTTGTTTATTTTTAATTTATTCGTAACGCATTCTTTTCAAAAATAAGTAGTTAAAATAAGATTTATTTCGCATCATTCAAATATCAGATAACTATAAAACAAGAACTAATATAGAATATTTGCACTGCGCGGAACTTTACAGAAGGGATGTCATAACCACAAAGGGCCATCATAGAGTATCTCGTACACAGCGCGTGGTTGTGTGATATGCTGATATGCAAGCCTGAAAAATCCATGTGGGAGGCGAAGAAGGATACAAACATTAAATTTGTCAAAAAATAGGTTCTTCCATGATGATGCAGCTGGGAGTTTTGCCAGTGTCTTTATGTGATAGCAAGTGTTACTACGGACAGCGGATATATGGAAAATGATATACCTGCAGGTGATCCGATATCATTCAGATAAGATAAATGTTAGGGAAGGATAACAGCGTGTACCATGCAACTGATAAAAATGCACAGAACAATAAGAACCAAAGCTGTCTTCACGATAAAGATTACCCCTCTGTACAGATTACCCCTCTGTGTAGTACAATCTAAGTTAACGAACCATGGGACAAAAGTTCTATTCCCCTTTCTTACTTTCCGGATCCCACATCCTGGGAATTTTTTTCTATTTTGTCTTGTGAAACTACAAACTAGGACATTGATGCTTAAACTTTTCCGAAGAAACTGGTTATAGCTGACGAGATATAGATTGGTGTTCAAAATCAAGAGAATTTTCACGTTTAGTCAATTATCTCCAATAAATAGAAATATTTTATGCAACAGTCATAGTATACACGCATATCATTCGTAAGGTTCATCGGCGCAGGAAGATCTAATACGGAGATTGCAGCATCGAACAAAAGAGGAGGCTAACAGTGGGCATGGTCCCTTCTAATAGAAATATAGCTCTCGCAACGTAACGTCATACTGGAAATGAAGTAGTTTATAAGTTTCTGTGGAAGTTGGCCTCATTCTTGCAATAACGCTATTTTTAAGTCCTGAAGGCGAGTTATAGTTGCCTTCGCAAGAGAATCCCAGTATTGTTCTTCAGTGTTTAGGTCTAGAAATCTGATTGGATAGTCCACATTATATCATCATTTTCCAGAAAATCATTTAGCAAACTACTCCTTTGTAGACAAGCATTCTTCAAAATGAAATGAGTCCAAACTGTATCTTTGAAAAAGCGAACACAGGGCGCTTAATCTAGTATACTTACAACATGATCTACTGGTTTCGCCCCATTGAATTCTGAGCACAAAGGAGTGCGCTTAGCACAATGCAGAGAACATCAACATTGGAGCAAGCAATTAGTGAGGAATCATTCTTTCCATAGATGAATTCGTATTCAGTTTAACCACTTATTCTCGATGTACATTATCTGAAGATATCAAGAGACCTGCTATTGCACCCGAGAAAGGGACCACAATGGTAGCAGAGATTTGGTGGCCTTGGCAGGCATTATGTTGGATGGGCGTCAAGACCTTCCTGTCTTTGGCAGAGGCTCTGTGACAGCTGCAAGGTATAGGAAAAATATCGTATGGCGTTATGTACTCTTCAGCTGGCCATCAGTTAATTTTCACAGAAGATAATGCTCGTACACATTGGGCTAATATAGCGTAAAAGATTTTCTGGAAAGTAAGGATACTAACCGGATGGCTTGGGCAGCCAGATTTTCCGTCTTGAGCCCTACAGAACCATCTGGAAAGCACTTAGGAGAGAAACTGCAACTCATCTAGCCTACAGTAAAATTTTTCAAGGCCCGAGAAAAACGTTGCTACAGGAATGGGACTAATGACGACAGGGAGTCAAATGCCTCATTTCACTATGAAATGACGTTGTGAGAGCTATATACTTGTTACAGAGGACCAGACCATACCACTTATTAGCCTTCTTTTCTGTTCGGTTTTGCAACTTCTGGTTTGAACATTTCTGTGCCGATGAGCCTAACGCACTACCACGAGTGTATGTCATAATTGGTGCATGATATATTCTTTTGTATTATATCAACCTATATCCACATTTAATTCCATTAAAATCTGTTCATAAGTTCTGAAGGTAATCGACCAAATGTGAAAATTCTCTTAATTTTGAATTTCAGTCTAAATGAAGAATTTAGACTGCTGTGTATCCTTATTAGATGCTGTGTATCCTTACGACATTATCGACTCATTTTGTAATCAATAGGATGATGCTGAGTTACACTGTGGTTGCTTACAGCATAAGAACCGACCTATCTGATTTGTGAAAGGTCAATGATAGCTGTGACAGATTATTAACACCAAGGGCTCCAGATCTCAAAACCATGATAGTTCTTCAGTTGAAAAAGAACAAAACTGTTACAACTGATAAACTAAGTCATTAAGATGTTCAGAAACATGGAATACTAGATTCGTTTGTGAAGGGATTCATCGGAAATGTTTTAAGGTGTGCATTTTCACAATTATATTTTCAAATCTTATATGTCATGCTTGTAGCAAATTATAATTCATCATAATTCAGGGCTTCCTACAAGTGAAACTCTGTACAGAATGAAAATATTGTTAATAATTTCCTTTTGATAGCATAGTTCACAACTTGAGTTTCTTTCAATAATAATTGCCATAAATATAATTATCTCTTTCATTCCATTTAATATACAGGATGGTTATAGTTAAAGTTCCTCTTTGGAATGGTAATAAAAGGAAAACTACTGGACTAAATTTGATCAAACTTGGTAATCTTGTAAAGGAGGTCATGAGAATTTGTTTGCCGAAAAAAAGTTCAAAAACTCACCACCAGGGGGGAATGGCGCTGTATGAAATATTGTTAAACGAAATAAGACAAGTCATCAGTTAAAAATGTGTTTAATCGTTTCTGAAACGTGCTACAAGGTATGTTCAATGTGGCGTCCACCATTTGCCGAAAGCAAGTTAAATCGTATTACTTGTATTCTCAACAGCAGGTCTTAGTATATCAAGAGGAATGTCACGGACATGTCGGTGTATCACATTTTTCAGTTACGCCAAATTGTTTAGATTATTTGCATAAATAATTTGCGAATAATCCTGCCGTAAGCCAATTACAAGCCATTGCGGTTTTGTCTCACCCCACAAACAGTTTCGTTTTAGAAACGATTAAAAACGTTTTAAACAGATATCTTAATTCTTAGGGCCCAATTTCAGGCATCAAAAATCACAAATTAGTGATCTGTAAGAAAACGATTCCAGAATGCGCACACTTTTGCGAGTAATTTGCGATCTCACATTTTCTAATCGCTAATATGTGGTTTCCACGGATGAATTTCTTCGTTAGACGAATGGCGCACTCGACTTTTATCACCTTTAAATGGTAATTTTGTTTAGGTCAGTGTTTCTTAAGGATATACAACATGTTAAACCCGCGTAACAAAAGGTTAAGTTAGATTGCGACCCTTATTTCGTTTAGCAATATTGCATACAGTGCTATTTCCTCTCTGGTGGTGAGATTTTGAACTCTTTTTTCCGCGGGAAATAAATTCCCATGACCTTGTTTACACGATTACCAAGTTTGATAACATTTGGTCCAGTAGTTTTCCTTTTATGACCACCTAAATGTGGAACCTTAATATAACCATCCTGTTTTCAGGAATTAATTATTTGTACGGAAAGGATATAAGCGCAGTATTCCCCCACCCCCAGCAAATATTGCCCTTCTTAAATTAATTACTTATATTATGCATATTTGTTTTAAATGGATTACATTACTAGAAAATTAATTAATGGTCTTCTGAGAGCAAAAGCAATGAATATTCTACTCGTATTTAGAACCGCTTTTCGATGTACCAAAATTACAAAAACCCATCTCAATTTTTTTTCCTCAGCCTATCATACATAATAAATTACAAATAATGTAATAGGTCTTCTTACATGAATTTTTTGAATTTCAAGTATTTCATCTACAAAGTCTTTTCTGAGAATTGAAGGAATTAAACGATAAATCTTAACTGTGCTTTTTGACATTCTAAGCAACTGATATCTGTGATCCATTTCTTGACTTTATATTTAAGAATTCCAAACAAATGTGTTAGAATATCTTATATCGTCAACAGAACCTTTCTACACGGCAATAAATGATAAAAGAATTGTAAAATTTACCGCATGAAAGCCTGTACCTGAAACTTATTTTTTACAGCTACATGCCCGTAATAGGTGGCAATTCCAAAAACTTTGCACTCTGAAGGATATGATTCAAAATTTTTGAACTGGGATTTAAAAAATTCCGAGCCAAAGGCCGAAAATTCGTCATTTTGAGTCAAACTGCTAATGAGCGTCAAACCTTTGACAAGACTCATATCTCCCCAGAAGGTGGACGGATTTTCTGAAATTTCGTCATCAATGTATTCGTCTTCTGTGGATGATTTGAAGTGGTCTGTGGAGGAATCCTCATCATCCGTGAAGTATTCTGCAGTGTTAGTCTCATTTGAAGGTGAAATACCTTCTTTGCTCGAATTCCAAAAAAGACTTTGATTTAGATACTCTTCATTAAAACCATTTGTATCTTCATTTGAGACTCCAACAATTCCCGGATCGCTGAAGCTTTTCCTTCGAGTACTGGGTGAAATGTCTTGAGACATGGAAAATTTTTCATCCATGTATTTTTTGCTTGAAATTCTGTCTTCGTTGTCTGAAGAACTGCTTTTTGCAGGGGTATGCAAAACTGGCTCAGCAGGTAATGATTGATCCAGGCATTGCATTCCTGTAAACATAATATTGAAACTTTCATTATTTTTGAAAACAAAATGAATTTTAAAACGCCAAAAAATTCTAAAGAGAGCAAGGTGTTATCTAAAACCTATGCTCAATAATTACATAAAAATATTTTAAAAGATAATATTGCTTATCACACACACTGGGCAAAGAATTAGAAACTAAAGATCAATATTTTATTGGGCCACGTTTTGAACGGATAACTGCTCTGACTCTTTTGGGCATCGAGTGCATCTTATGTACAGAGAATACCATGCATTGGTTATGCAGCTTCTTAGATCTGTGAATTAGATAGAAGATGAGCATGCTGTCGGATGCGTCTTTCCAACATATCCCACACATTTTCTATGGGGTTAAGATCCGAGCTATGCGGTGGCTAGGAAGGTGTTGGGAACCTGACTAATGTTCAGCGAACCAATTTTGAGCACTTCTGGTACGATGTATAAGAACGTTATTGTCCATGAAGTATCCATCGCCATCAGAGTAAAGATGTAGCATTGCAAGGTGCACTTAATCTGCCAGTATATCTAGGTATCACATGGCTGTTTGTTTACCCTCGAGGAACACCAGAGCATTTCCATGCCAGAAGAACATGCCCCATATCATGGTATTCCCACCAGACCTTTGCACAGTGCGAATAAGGCAAGATGGATTAATGGCTTCATGGGGTTCTTTTTAAATTCGACGTCTTCCTTCAGTGCAAAATAAGGTATAGCGTGATTCATCCGACCACATTACTTACCCGTTTGAATCCTCAGATGTCCAGTGTCTTCTTTCTCGACACCACTGCAAATGAATTCTTGCATATCGGGCAGAAATGAGTAATTTTCTGACAGGCACTCGACTATGCATTTCTATCCTCTGCAATTCTCTGTGCATGGTTCGGAATGTGTTGAAACTGAAATGAGTTGGAGAGAGCCTCGGTTGACGATCTGTGCCAGTTGAAGCACAATAGAGTTCCTGTTCTGTCGTACAATTTGTCGGATACGCCGCCGATTACTCTTTTGGAAAACTGTAGTCGAACCGCAATCTACGTCTTCTAGAGAAGGCCTGTGCATTGTGATTTCAACTTTTAAAAACCTTTGATATGGCTGCTTTTTAGAACCCAGTGAGATTTGCTGTGTTCGAAATAGAGGCCCCTTACTAAACGGCCACCAACAAAAAGCCCTTTTTCAAATGGAGAACGATTTGTCGTTTTTCCAATTTTACTTCATTCATCGTGAAAAGCACTCAGGGTAAACATGCAATACACCTTATTTATATATTAGCATTCTAACCACGTGTAAAACAAATTTGCATACTTCATCCCTAGCTACGCATTCAAGTGAAAATCTCAAAGGTTTCTAATTCATTGGCCACTGTGTGTATATCACAAACATCTAAATATTGCTCTTTCAGTCCTTAAAGGAAATTAACTTAAACTGCGCAAAATACCTCGGGTAATGTATGACCTATTATTCATTTTAATGAATCTAATTTTCCGTTCCAGACTTAATCACAAAATTTTGAGTTTTAATCAGTCCATTTAGTATGTGCTTATTTTAAGGTTTCTTGGAAACAAAATGTGTCATTATTGTAATATAATACATTGCGTTAGAATGTTCTGGGGTATGATATAAATGTGATAACTGAAAAATATTTCAAGTAAGCAGAGGCTGTTAGTACATTTTTTAGACGATTTTCATATTATTTAAAGAAATGGTTCACCTATACTTTTTGTGCTTTAAATGTTCTGTTTGACAACTCTTATTCTTCACTGTCGTTTGACAGTGTAATTTCCAAGACAATAAAGTCTTTTGTAGTATCGGAAGAAGTACTTATACCAAGTCCAAGGAGAGTTGTGTCGACATTTGGATAATCCGCTTTTTAAAAGTCCAAAAGCCAAAAACTTATTGAGCACAGAAGATATAGTAGAGATATGACTGAAAGATATGGCCTTGATATCCATTTTTGTTCCACTTTTTTTAGGAAATGAACAGCGGATTTTGACATGTGGCTGCCTGCTTTGTCTTGATGCAGTTCTATTGATTGATAGCACTGTAGATAAAGAGAAGGTATTTCATATTTGAATATGTTTCTGATAATATGTGAAGTTGATTTTAATATTTTCCTTCACTCTTTTTAATTTGCCGTTACATGAAAAACAAGCAATAATCAAAAATTCTTTTGGAAAACTTTCTTTAGATTCTTTGAACCATGTTTTAATATTTTTGTTATCCTCTTTTATGATAATAAATGCATTTCTTTTTATTGCAGTCATTTAAATACACCTAAGTTTAATTTATTGTGACAACATTTTTTCCATTTTTGTCAGGATCAATATTTCTCATAAAGAATTCTGCAGCGCGTTTTTCATTCTGCGATATGTCAAGAAGAAAGACGACGCACAATATATTTTTTCGCCTTTTCAAGATTCAAGTCAGAATTAATCAGTTTGTTTACAGTTGGCGCTGAACATTTTAATGATTTTGCAATTGTCCTTTGACTTGCCGGATTTACTTTTAACAATAAAGATCTTTATCTTACTTAAAGATTGCAGCATTCGAAACATTATGTTTTCCGTATCTGGAACAAATTTTGTACTTGAAGCCAAACTTTGACGTTTTCTCCTTTCTTATTGACAATATTATCTATAGTAGCTTCATATATCGAGAAACCATGGTTTTCACAATGATTTTTAATACCTAGACACGAATAACTTTCTTCGGAAAGAGCATAAACGTAGGATTCCATCTATTGCTTATTTAAGAGCTACATTTCACATGGAAGCGAAATTCTGAAGTACCAGTCTAAAAATTGTATTTTCAAAAAACACAAATTTCCAAGAAGATGATTATTTTTTTTTGTAGCGGAGCAAAACGTATAAAAAATGTACGAACAGCCTCTAAACATTATCAGAAAAATGAAAAGAAAAATAAGCATTTACCAAAAACAAAACAAACCAACAAACAAAACAAAACAAAAATTCTATGTTGATGAATAATTAGGACAAGCAAAGTCATCTGAAAGTAAATTTACATAATAGGTCTTTTGTTGCAAAGAGACAAAGATTATTTTTATCGCTCAGTGAATTTTTTCTTACTTATGTTAAGAAAATTATGTGAAATAATCCCTACTGTATGGTACAGAACAAAAATGAAAATAACAACTACACCATTAAAACTACTATAATAATAACATAACATAAAATATTTATTTCGCAGTTAATGAAAGTTTTTCGACATAAGCGTTCAATTAGTCAGTGAAAATATTATTTTCCAATCATATATGATAAATAATTATCAAATCATAAAATAAAGGTTTGCGTTTTAGAAGGTGCAAGAAAATGCATGATTAAAGATCTTAATTCATTTGTCAGCTGGAGCTTTTAGGTACTGGAGACTAACTAATCGAAAATAAGAACTATTTGTAAAGAAAACAGTGGTAAAATTGCATTAAGGATTTTTAAGCGTTACAAATTTAGTGTACAAAGGCTTCCTACACGTTTTAAATGACTTTAATTAAGTAAATAACTGAAACTAAAGTTTGATTGCTTTAATACAGCAAAGCGAGCGATAGCAATTTACATTAAGCGAGGTGATGCCTTCTAAGAAGAATTTCTGAAGGAAATTGGCTTGTAATTACAGTACGCATAGGGAATGAAATTAAAAAGAAAGCGATATGAGTCATAAGTTACTGTCCGCTGGAGTGAGAGTTTTTTGTTAGCACAAAATCACAACAGCTTCCATAAATAAATTTTTGCTGGAAGGCTATGATTTTACATTTCTGAAAAAATATAGTCTTATTTTTTAAAACGATGTAGGAATCTTGGAATTAAAATATCTGAGGCCATAATAAACAGAAAAAAATCCATAGTCAGCATTTTTTAAGGAAATAGAGCTAAATGTTTATCGCTCTCCTTTCCAAAAAATATGTATTTCAAAGGGATTTCAAAAATTAAATCGGTGGTCCTCAAAGAGGATCCTTCTTCAGAATGGGTAGTAATAGCAGCTCTTAAAATGTTTGCCTCTACCACGAGTAAAATAACAAACGATGATTTAAATTAAAATATCTGATTTGAACAGCACATGACTTCATTGTACGGTCTATTAACTAATACACATTTTTTGCTGCATTTCATTTAAACACATTTCCTCGAATTTCATCAGAAATATATTTCTCATTCAATGAATTCAGTTCTCACTTCGCAGCAAGGCAATACAAAAAAGCTCAGAACATCTCCATTAGAAATTATAAAATACGGAAACAACTAAAACACCAAATATAGTTAAAATCAGTTAAAGAAATTTTTACAATTAAAATTAGAGTTTTTACGCAAGAACAAGGAATTCCTACAAAGGGCAAGAAGGCAGATTTTTTGGTGCTTGTCCCACTGGGGAAAAAAAAAAAAAAAAAAAAAAGACACTGGAGTTAGAGCACCAACTGACTAAATTCACTATTCTACAAAGAGTGTCAAATGTAAACAAATGGCCGCGTCGTTAGGCCTAGGGCCACTTTTAGTCTTGATAATTCTACAGCTATTGCAAGCAGATTAACTAAAGGCATAAAAACTGTAACCGAAACATAATAACAACATAATTCAATCATCTTAAAAGCAAAATATATACAATCGACCAACATATTACAATACAAATTCTGAGCTCACTGAAGTGACAAAATGGGAATTTATATACATTTATATATGTCTGGTACAGCCAACTGCAAAGAAAAAGGAAGGTACACAACTAGATGTAATAGCAGTCCCATATAAAAATTTCAATATTCTACGGCTACTCGTTTTTGAGTTAGAGATACAGACATACGTATGTACAGCTTCACGAAAAAGTCTCTTCTAAATCCATTTTAAATTCATTTTAAAACACGTTTTGGGAAAAAAAAAAAAAGAAAAAGAAACCTTCATTTTGTCTATACATAGTTCATATGGATTCAACAGCGGTCAAAACGGATATTTTGGTTGAAAAATGATACCCGAAATTTTTTGCGATTGTAACACTTCCTTTACTTCGTATAAGGAAGTAAAAATATGAAAAGAAATTGCAGTACTGTCTTGTGAGATATATGACGCAGAGTTTAATATCAGATATAAAATTCCTTACAAAATCATTTTTCCCAAGAAAAATGGAAATTAGTTTTCAGCATAATAAAGCATAGCTATATTCAAATGACTATAATAAAAGTTGATCGGTTTACTATAGTAAGATAAGAATTTGGATTAAAAGAAAGTTTCAGGAAAAGTTTTATGATACTTGCTGATTTTCCATGCAAATGAAAAGAAAACAAAAAACCCAAAATTAAGAAACATAGAAATAAAATAATAAAAAAGCATCATTAAAATAATGTTTTGACTGCGATATTAAAAAAATAATCCTTCGTTTTTCATACACAGAATATAAAAGAAGGTGAATGCCGCAAAGACGAAGTTTAGAATCACGTCAAACATCTACGAATAGATCTCTAGCGAAGTCTCTTGTTGTGACGTCACTGCATAATTGTGCTTTCAAACTGTTAGCAACAGCATTTTCCACATGTCGATCAAAAAAAAAATTGGCTATGGAAATCACCACAAGAGGAATGGAACAAAGATTCTCATGGTAAAAATTTAAGAAATGCTTTTTTTTTTTTTATGAAATTCGAGGAGTGTTTGATAGTTCAGACAAAGGACTACTAAACTAGGAAGGTGAATAATAATATTTGTCTTATAAAAATGATTGTTGTGACTCATCAAAAAACCTAGAAAAATGGTCTAATACTCTGTGTAGCTGCAAAATAAGTTAGCTTCCCTTTAAGAAAATTATTTATTACATGTGTAAATTTAAAATCTTTCATGTCCGCAGACGATAATTAATTAAAATAATTTGCAACAATTGCAAATTATCCATCACAATAAATTTTGAAAGGAAAATGGAATTCAACCGACAGCACAATGGCGCTGTGATTTTCTATGATTTTAATGTGGGGCTAAAAAACAAGAAGAATGCTATTAACATCTATAATTAGCATATGGGAATGAAGCTGCATCTCATGTCACTGTATTCAGATGGTTCATAGAAATTCACAGACGTCGAAATTCTCTTCTGGATGAAGAACACATAGGAAGACCATTGCCAGAGATCTCATAAAATGTGTTGCCCATACGAAAAATATTGATCAATGATAATCGCTGTATTACTAAATGATAGGAAGGATTTTAACATTGGATCCTCAGCTATACATAAAATTATTTGTGAAAAACTATATGAAAAAAATTACATTGGCTTTGGGTCCCTCGTAAATTAACAAAACACCGAAGTACTTCAGAATCAGCAACGAAACCCTAAAACAACCTAATGATGGTAGACACCACATTTCTAAAATCGTAACTGGTTTTGAAACGTATATACCGTTTTTGTTTTGACTCTCCAACACCACAAAAATGTAAAATATGGGTTTTGGATGACCTGAAATCAACAATGGTGAAAAGACAACAAGCAATAAAAAAAAGTAATATACTCACCCCCCTTTTTTCTTTTTCCACGGTCAAAAGTACAGGAGTGATCAAATCAATCAAGTTAGAGGAAGATAAGTTAATCAAAGTTAACTTGTTCATCACTAAGTGTCTTCTAGAAATTCTTTGAGACATGAAAATTAGGGAACACATGCTTCACCATGATAATGTATCTTCTCATTCAGCTAACTTGACACTTGAATTTCTTCAATAAAAACATATTTAAAGTGACAAAACATTTACCTTAATCTGTTGATCTTGCTATATGTGACTTTTAGCTATTTTTTAATCTTAGGCAAAATTTATGTGGCCGTCGTTTTCATCCGGAAAATGAGACTGACGAGATTATAAAAGCATATTTTTCATCTCTTCAAGAAATGGATGGTCTGAAGCATTTTATTTTTGGAAATTCACTTATAAAAGGTGCACTGATGAATTACCTAGAATAATACTTAGTAAATTTAATTTGTACCGTTTAACTGCATCTGGAAAATTTTAGATTTTCGTGATTCTTACTTTTAAAGAGTCAAAATATAAATGAAAAAGCATTTTATATTAGATTTTTTTTTTTTTTTTTTTAATTTCTAGTGTGTTACGTTGATTTGAATAATGACTGAATGTAGATTTTTAATTTTAAAATTTTAGAATTTCTGATTATTATTTAGAATTTCGAATAATTAAAGAATTAGAATTAAGTTAGTCTGTTCTCTACCTGCAGCTACTTGCAAGTATAAGTAACTGGAAACTTTTTGAGAAATCTCTTTCACTTTCCGAATCTGAACATACAAATCATGTGAAGTGGATCTCAATTAGGCCTAGAATGGAACATAAAGAATTTATAATAATCAGAACCTGCGCAAATGAGGCAAAAAAGCAGTTTTCTGTTATACAGAAAAGGTATAAACTTCTGATCAAATCGATTACGTTGCTGGTTTTTTTTATCACCAAAGCTAGATCTGAAGTAATTTGAAAAACTGAAATAACGGACAGAATAAAAGATAGCAAAGTTGTAGGATTCTCCACTGTCTAATTCTAAGTTACCGTTGAAAGTGAAGAATCTTAAGAACTAATAAGCGAATAATCGCTTAATTTCGTGTGACAGGAAACAACAAGATAGAAGGGTAAAATAACCCTTTATTATTCCAACTAAAGTTTAACAAAACTCCATCTTGGAGTTGTACGTACAATAAAGCCGACATTTGGGATTGAACTTAAGAGACTAAGAATTAACTAAACTAATCTTAACTAAAGAGATATAGCCGAAGCTATCAAAATTCTAACAGAGTTGGCCCCTTAACGCTAATTAACTACGAAGCTATCAAAGGCCTAAAGTACGGCCGAGCGTAATAATAGCTTACGAGAGAGTAGCCTAAAAAGGCGGACGCGTGCAGCCAGAATATCTGGTATCTCTCTCCCTAAAACAGTAGAACTTCGCGGTTGAATACTGCTCTTCCTCATTAGCATTCAGACGTGATTCTAAAACTACGTTCTGGCCGAAAGTGGTAAGTTGAAATTAAGAATCGACAGGAAAGGATGTTTAACTCAAAATTTAACTGTTAATAAAATTAACATAGTCCTTACAAAGTGATCGTACACTTTTTAAAAAATGTGCAATGTCATCGAATGAAGCCACTGAAATTTTTGTGCTCATAACATCATTTGAAAAGAAATAATATGACCCCAAAACTGGACATCGAAGTTATAAATTTTAATAAGAGTATTCTAAATATTATTTTTAGGTTAAAAAGAGATTTCAGTCGGCTGATTATGATTAAAATACTTCATGACTAAAATGATATGATAGTTATGAGATAAGAAATCATTTTACTTCTGGAATAAGGCAATGATTATGCTTCACAAGACAATCATTATGAAACTGAGACAGATTTTTAACTGTAGGTATATTTTTGATTTGCTAACAGCTTATTAAGAAATTAATAACATAAGGAACTCTAGAGGAATTTGACGTGTTGCGATATAAAGTAAAATTTGTAAGGTTCCATACGTGGTTCAGGACCATGTTTGAAGTCAAAAAGTTTGATTCAAGGCCTAAAACTCGGTACAATAAAAATTAGCTACTTCGAAAATAATTTGAGAAAACAATTAATCAAATTTAATATGAGAAAGTTGGTTATTTTGAACAATTATTCTCGAGTTCTACAAACCACAAGTTGCAGTTATTTATAATTTGTAACCAAATAAATTAGCAAGATTTTTTGCTTGGTCTTACCTTTTGAAGCGTGTTTAATTCAGCAGCTATCTGTGAAATATTGTTTTTTTGACTTGTTTAAGCGTGGTTTGAGTAATGAAATATTTTACAAAATTCTTTAGGAAAAGCTGCAGATAAAAAATTGGAATGCTATATGCTGATTGTGTTGAACTATATATTCATCGTAAGCTGGATACTGGTTTTGCATGTTTTGTCAATCGTACTATTTAAATTATTTGATATTTAAAAAAAGAATGCCAGAATAAATTGTAAACATTCATCACAAGCAAAGACATAAAGTCACACATAGTACAAAACAGTGAGGAGAAGATGACAAATAAACATAGAATATAAGACATACCAATAAACATAGCAAAAGAATCAGAGATTACTAAATGGTCTTGGGCAAATCGCTACCTGAGCTGTAAGAATCTGCAATTTCATCGTGTTCCTCCTTTTCACAATCATTACACTTTTGTGCTTGTGTCAAGTCTGAAGTGCAAGGAAATTCAGGCTTCGAAGGACTTTCAGGAAAATCATTGTAATTTTCATTAATGTTGGTATTTTCCCAAAATTTCACTTTGTCCTTGATGCCTACGAGATTTGTCCTTGATGAATATCTCAAACTATTTTTTGGCTCATTTTGCTCCGTTGTCGACAGAGTATTTTCCCATTGTAGGATTCGGCTTTTGACTGGACTGGAATCTTTGTTGATTTCTAGAGGATCAAACTGTTTGAAATGAAATTGCTTGAGAGGTAGTAATGTATAGGTTTTTAGCTGTGGTTGTTTCGATAATTCTTTTTTTGAATTGTTCTCACAAAATGTCAGCGTAGCCTGCGACTGCGAAAGAGAACATTTTTGCTCTTTTGCATCATTTTTATCTGCCCAAGTTCTGTATATTGAGTGCTCTTCTAAACTCTGAATACCACCTTGATTTATAGATGCAGAATTCGTAATTTCGAAATCCGTTTCATAGTTACTGTTTGCAAGGAAAGAAGTGGTTTTACCCACATCTACATCTGGCGAACATTCATTGCACTCAGGTTTGAGATTGGTATTCGAAGGGGGAATATTCATGTGGCATATTTGTTTCTGGTGTTCTGTGGGCAAATAAGGATTATTTGTATCAGTTACAGAATGTTCCTTATTATATGCAACGGAGCTAGAATTCGACGACGTAATACCTGAATACCTTTTCGAAATAACTAAACTACAAGCAGAATTTTTTTCTGAAAGTAAATTCTCATCGCAGAATTTCGACTGCACTATAGTATCTTGACCTGAAAATGTAGAATATACATCACGAAAGGTCTTTTTCATTTTAGAATTACTTTTCTTGTTTTTAACCGCGGATTTTGCAACACTATTATTATTTTTCAATAGATTAGGGTCTTTGCTGTTCACCGCGTTTTCACGAATTTCTTTTCTATTATCTAGCTGAAACTGAAGAACATGTTTCGATTGTTTCTTTCTGTGCTTTTTTACATTTAATGCTAAATTCAGACTCTTATTTCTAATAATTCTCTGCTTAGCATCCCTTTTCTCAATGAATGAACTACGCTGTCCACAACTGCTACAAATGTAATCTGCCTTAAATTTCTTTACGCACTTTTCAGGATATATTTGTTCGTAATTATTTAGTTCAAAAACTTGGCACTCTGCATCTTTTTTGGGGAATTTATGATGCTCATCTGAAGCATGACTTTTCGCAGAAAAGTCAGCCAAGACAGAATTCTTTTCAAAATTCCCTTTTGAAATATCGTCTGCATTTTCTGACGTTTGCTCAGAAATTGCAGAGACAGGAGTTTTGTCACTTTGATGACCAAGATCTTGTCCCATGATACTAGAAAGAGATTTTGTTGCAGCTAGTTCTTCGTTATGTTTACTTTCGACATTTTCAAATTCTTCAGGAGAACCTATATAGTAATTCTTCACACTCTCATCTTCTGCATCTGAATGCTCTATGGCGGAATCAGGTTCTTCATGCATCTCCACGAGGGAATTAGCTACATCTTTATCATAAAACGATGATCGATCTAACACCTTATGCTTTCCTTCAGATATTTTTAATGCAGAAATTTTTCTCAGTTTCATTTCATCACAAATTTCATTCTTTCCAGCTGGACTTATGCTAAGAGATCGAGTTCTTGTCTTACTATGAACTTCTGGATCAGAAACTTCAACGCAAAATTGACGAATAACACTTATCTTGCGTTCTGCATCTCCTGTAAAACCCCAGCTGTTTCTTCTGGTGTATAATGGAGCTTTTTGGAAATCATAATCCATTTTCAAGAGAGCAGGAGCCAAAGACTCGATGTTAGTCGCGTTAACAACAATATCTTTACCTTCGATTTTAACTATATGTCTCAGGACACGTTTATTTATCACTTTCCCTATACGTTCATTTCTTTTTCCATAATCTTGAAATCTCACTGATGATCGCCTACAAACTGAGTATTCTTTGTTATTAGACACTGACTTTAATGCTGATTTCAAACGTGCTGTGCTACCACAATGAACATCTAAAGTATCTTCGACTATTAATATGTAAGGACTGTCTGAGACATGGTGGCCTCTCCATAAAATACTAATCTTGTGCTGTCCTTTCTCTACAGGCATATAGCCTATATTTATCTGATTTTTACAAATCTCATATTCGAACGGTATGAGGCTTGGTTCTTTCTCCTTTTCTTTATCTGATTCTATTTTTGAATCATTATATACACATTCAGAATATGAAGAAGAACGTTTAATCGATATTTCAGAATTTGAAGCTTCAGATATTTTCTTCTTTTTAGGAGAACGTTTTGTAATTCTTTTACTGCATACGGAGTTTGTTGGACCACGGATATCTATGACAAAATCTAAGTCCGATAAAGATCCGTAGAATATTTTGAAATTTGCAAGTCGTCCTAGGAAGGCAACTACCAAGCCTGTCCCTTTCACAATGCAACCTTCGCTACTCATAGACGTTTCGTGATTGTCATTTTCACTTTCATCTGTTTCGGACGTATTTTCCTCACTTGTTGATTTCGAATCAGTTGCTTCTTTTAATTGAAGAAGGATGTCCAAAAGTTTCACGTCAGAACCCTCCACACATGTTACTATCTCTTCCACAGAAATTTTCTGAAAGAAACAGAAGTGTTATTGTTCATTCGTGAATTAAAAAGACAGTAAAGAATGATTATGAAGAATAATAAAAAATACATATAAGTACTTTCATATTCATAATATTATCAGTGTAGATCAAGAATTCAGATGTTATTGTTTCAAATGTTACACGTTAAAACATTTTTTTTTAATTAACTAGACCTCCATGGTTTCAAAGAGTGATTACTTTGTTTTCCTGATAGTTGATTTACCAACAGAAAATAACAAAGTTGATTGTCTTTCAAAAGCAAGGCTAAAAAAGGACAAACGTATATAAATATATTACTCAAAAAGTACTCAAGTACAGAATTAAAAAAATTGAAAAAAAAATCTTATCATGAAAGATTACTCCCATAAATTATCTGTAATCCAAAGGTATCGATCCGTTTAAAGAAAATACATTGATTATCATCAAACGTGCAATAGAAAGGACGAAAACTATGAAAGCCGCATTTATTGAACATACTTACCGTATGTTGATGTGCATAAAGCATGAAGCAAGCTCAAAAGAAAATTCCGTTAGACTTGCCAATTTCAAAATAATCAATATTTCCTGTAACCGTTACAGGCGACAATAAATAATGCTGCACGGTCAGCTGGTGAAACTAGGAAAACTTCTTATGAGTTTAGATTATGTCAGTCTATATACATTCGATAAGATTCTAAAGTTCATCCGTGGCAACGGAAAATGATGTTTAATACGCTAGCCGACAAGAAATCGTAGATCATACATTCTGTTTAATACATTGCTGGCCACCCAAATTGAAACACTAAGAAAGACAAGAGATATCACAACAAAATTTATTTAGTAGATAACATGTTGCCGAGTATCAAATGATTAAATTTATAGACTTCTGTGAAGTGTAGTTCCTTCCAGAATCTGTAGCCAGAGTAGCCGCCCCATTGTTGGAGATCACCGCTGCCACACGCCTCGGCAATGATTCAAAGAGACTTTGGAGGTGTTCTTGGGGTACAGCAGACAAGGCAGCTTCCACACGTTACCAAAGTTGGTCTCGTGTGACAGCTTGGGATGCAATCTGCGTCAATCGTTCAGCAACCATGGACCACATGTTTTCTATCGGCGAAAGATCCGGAAAGCGAGCCGGCCAGGTAAGATATTCAATCTGGCAATTGACGAAGAACCCTTGGACAATGCGTGCCACCTGTGGTCGTGCATTATCCTGTTGAAATATGGCTGTGAGCAAGCCGTGAAGGTAAGGAAAGACAACTGGCTCCAACACCTCGGAGATGTAGCTCTGGTTGTTTAAAGTACCGGCAATGCGTACTAGAGGAGTGCGAGAGTGATATCCAATACCGCCCCATATCATAATACTCAGTGCAGGACTAGTGTGGCGGTGCATAGCGCAGCTGTTCAGCATCCTCTCTCCACGGTGTCTCCAGACTCGAATAGGACCATCGTGGTATTACAGACAGAAGCGTGACTCGTCAGTAAAGACAATTTCATTCCATTCTGCCGTCCACACCCTTCTTTCATCGCACCATTGGCGGGGGAGACGTCTGCGGCTCTGAGTCAAGAGTAGATGAAGCAATGGACGTCTTATGGACAGACCACTCTGCTTTAAACGGCGTCGAATGGTACGCGCAGACACTGGATGATGCGTTACAGACTGAATGTGCTGTGCTATGGTTCGTGATGTGACTGAGCGATCCGTCACTGCCATGCGCACAATGTTCCTGTCATCACGTGAAGTGGTGCACTGAGTTGGATGCGATCGAACACGTCGGTCCGTCGTACTCTCCTGCATGCAACGGTCACATATCCGCATTGCTGTTTGGTTTCGTCCAACACGACTACCGATTTCCCTGAAAGATAATCCACACTCTCGGTAGGCCACTATCCTTCCACTGTTGAACTCGGATATTTGATCAAACAATGTTCGCTGTTTACTACGAGGCATTTTTTTGTTCGTGTTTTTGAAAAAAAACCACAAGAAAAACACAATTGCTGAACTTAAAATCGTCGGAAACTCCAAGCCTTAAATAGGGCTTTGAAGTGTCGCCACAGGCGCGCGTGATGTGCGTTTGCGCTGAAATTCTAATCATTTGCATAGCTCACCTCCGCTAATGCATGTTGTAAATTTCATGTTATTTGCATGCTTCCTTCAGGGTGTTGCATTTACGGTGGCCAGCAGTGTACAAACCAAAGAAAGCTTAGACTATGGCAACAGTGAAAGGACGGCCATGTAGGTATTATTAGACTTTGAGTTCCATACGCAATAATGCATCATTCTCTTGCTACATTTTTTCTTATCAGCTAACATAGCACTCATAAGTACCTTAGTAGTATACTGCTATTAGTGAAATTCTTAGTAAAATTTCTCGTAACAGGCATTTAATTAAACGGGGCTATCAAAATAAGGATACTTCTGGGCTATGAGATTAAAAAAAAAATGTAATGAGATAACAATCTGTCAACATTGTCAAGCCATGGCTCATGCCCATGCGACTTTAGAATGTATCTCCCCCTCTTCTAGTATTCCCTACCGGCTCATTGGCTAAGGGAGATAACGTGGCTTGCTTCGTAAGTCGCACAGACGAAACCCGGAACTCGTGCTATCATCAAGGTGCATTGGAATATGTACTCTAGGCCACGCGGTGCTGCTATGGCTATCCTCGCAAAGCAGAAGTGTTCTCACTTTTAAGTTAAAACTAGGATTGCGAGAGAAAATGGAGAGAGGATACAGCATTAATTAATGGAAGAAATTCAAAGCTATAATCACGATATGAAAATTTAGATGGTGTTTGCCTTCAAAAGATTAGAAGCAGCTTGTATATCTGGACGAATGCTGTAAAAAAAAGCAAAGGAATTACAGAGCAGAATAAACAGGCAAACCGAATGTGAATTTTCCGTTAGATACTTCAGCCGATTTAAAGAAAAGTAAGGAATTTACGAGTAAAGATATTTCGGGTATTTAATCTGTGCTTCGGAAAACTATCCAAAAGGTTTTAAGCAGAGCAAGGACCGCGTAACTGTTATAGCATGTGCAAAAGTCTGCAGGTATGCGCGAAATAGAGTTATTGGTCATAGTTAAGTACTGCTACCTACAGTGTTTCAAAACACGTACAAAATCTGCTTGCCCGTTATCAGTTACAAAAGAATGCTAAACACTTTCAAATATATATCAGAAATAAAAGATTGCATTTTACTCGTAAACTCAAATATCGGGAAAAAAGTCAGTGCCATTCTGGTAGGCATAGCTAAATTAGATGACCAGTATTATATCGCGATATATACCGTTATATTCGCAAGGAAATTTTTAATTCGTCTTATATATGGATTTTTAGCTTTAGCTGAATTTTTGCAGTAAAATCTCATTTGTCAGCTTATGCTTTGATCGGCATATATTCGGAATTAATTATACGGTAATTAATAATTGAGAAATTTCTAAATCTCTAGATTTGGGGAAATAGTCTGTAATGTGCTTTTAAAACTAGAAAAAGGTATAAGAAAAAGGTACTTTTAGAAAAAGGCATAAGTCATCAAAATAGAAAAAAAGTAAACTTTTAAATATGCCCATCGTCAAAGTAAACTTTTAAATATACCCATTGTCAAAGTAAAATATGTGCGGAGAAAGAAGATAATTTCGATGAACTTAGACTATCAGTGTTGTATCTCCTGTTATGCACTATCAAAATTAACGTATCACAGGGAATGATTTTAAAAGTCATTCCAATCATTTGTTGTAGGACAAAAGGATATGTAGAAATTGAACACAAATGTTTAAAAAAGACGTATTATTACCTTTTTTCTTTATAAGTCGAGTAATGCTAAAATATTGCTGCGCAAATATGCACAAAATTTAAAAATTAGAGCATTGCATTATCTTCGTTTTGAAGATATAATTATTCAAGTATTCAAGTGGGTGTGGGATTTACTCTTGCGAATATGTACACTTCTCAAATTTTTTCATATGATAAATAAAATTGTTAATTGAAGCCTGTGGAATCAAACACCATTCTGCTTAGAGGACAGATCTGATTTTCCGAAGAAATTTTCGAAAAGGAAAACTGTTGCGCGTTAGAGTGCAGGCTTAGGACATTCTATGCGTGTTCAATGGAACTGAGACCAGGTGAGTATAATGGCTAAATCATTTAACACAAGTTTTGTTCTGAAGGTATTCATTCACCAGAGTAGAACGATAAAGTTGAGCGTTTTCGATATCTAGATTTTTCATTTTATGATTCTTTCGCTTTCACCTAGATACTTAGGCTTTTCCATTTATGCTTCGCTCGCCTTTCTCTAAATTTTCGTCTTTTTAATTCGCCTAAATTTGCCTTTTTTTTTTTTTTTTTTGTAAATACCTAAACAACAGTAGATTTTTATATTTACTAGTATGTAATTACCGTAAATAATTACACTCATAAGAAATGCTATGGGGTTTTAGGTGAGAATTGCGATGAAATTTTCAAGGTTGTTCAAGTATATAAAAAAGCAATAGGTGCAATGTATAGCATTCCGCACTTGCCAGAGTCGTAGCTAGGGTTTTCAGCGCCCAGGGACAACTGAAGATTTCGCGCCCCCTACTGCTTGCCAAGGATGGAAAACATTTAATTCTAAAATGTCGTAACATCAGTTTTGATCCCCTTGTATTCTGCGCCCGGAGACAGATGCCCCCTCTAGCTAAGCCCCTGGCACTTGCCCTCAGTTTCCAGAAGAAGGCAATGAATATAACATACCTAACCATTATTACAAGTTACTGTGTAATAAGGAGCATTCCTGGCAGATGGCATTGATGACTAGTGCTTAACTAATGTGGCATAAGAAACAGGCATGTCGATTGCTAACGAATACTGTTGTGAAACAATAAAAATGTTGCATGATTAGCAAAATAGCTTGTCATCCTCAAACAAATATCATTCACGAACGTGGCTCAGAATTACTCAACAGATGATATTGTTACGAATTTTGTACATAGATAGGTGGTTTAAGTGCAGTTATATGTGAAATTATATTTTTCCGTGTAATGTAACGCGAAACAAATTTTAAGAGAATGCTATGCTGGAAAAGTAAAAGTACAGGGGCAAGTGCATTTAACATTGAGTAAATGGGTATCTCGATAATTTGGAGAGATATCGCCAACGGTTTTGGCGATTTATTTTATTGCCAAATTTGCAAGAAATTGTCAAAAGTCGCCAAACTTGGCGACATTTTGGTCCGGTTAATGTATCACCATAATATGTATTGAAATTGAATAAATGTAACTGACCTATGTTACGCTAATAAATGTAACGCTATGTTAGGTGTAACCGTAATTCTACCTTCATATTGCTTTCCAGTAATTTCGAGCAGAAAGTATTAGAAATATCTAGGCCTGTTGAAAACTATTTAAGGCCGAAGAGAAAGCATCTGGTATCAGTTGCTTAGTTATTGTTGCAAATGGTTAGCTCCTCGTGAACTGAGATATCCGAGTTAGCTTTCTCTTTAGATGCACTTTGCATTACGTTGTGTTTAACGTTCTTAGTAGATTGATGCGTAACTTCTGATTCTACTCTGTGATATTGAAATTGCCCATATGAGTATTTCTGTGGAAAATTTTAAAACTTGGAAGTGTTTATTTTTATAAAATAAATTTTTATTAACCTATCATCGGATCTGTGTGCATTTAGTTTGTTACGAACCAGTACACACGGGGGAAAAAAAAACGGAAAAAGGAAAAAAAAAATCCAACATACACTGAACAAGAGCTGTAGTTGTTTGAAGCAACAGGAGTATTCAGTATCAGTTGCCCCCAAACGCACGACAACACTGAGGAAAATATCAGAGCTCTTGAAGCGGGAGGTACACTAGAATACAAGTGGTATGAATCAGCCAGCATCTGTGCATCGTGTTCCGAAGTGTTTGACATAGGACTCGCCATTTACTGGTAAGTGAAATCCAGTAAATATTTCCTTATGCATATCAAACGCTTCTTCCGTTCCGGACTAAAGTTACTGTAAAGACATGTGTAACAGTTCTATCTCTGAGTTTAGTACTATGATTGCCTACATAATTGCTGTGAAAGCATTAACTCTGCTTTCAGCCCTGCCTTCTCTCTCCACATTATCACATCGTGGAATGAATAAGTGATTGCTGCAAATGATAGAATGCCTCAAGTCTCACAGACACATTACGTGTGCCAATCTATGCCTGCAAGTATTGCGGGCTCACGTACTACTTTTGCACTACATTCTGGGAATTAGGGGCGACTGCGAAACTGCCATGCTTTGCACTTATCATTAAACTCACATGCTTAATCACCTCTGAAAGTTCGATTCTTATGCGGATATCCGATAGCTTTCCTCAGTGAAATTTTAATTCGTCTTTGCTGAATTAGCGCCACTTTTATAATTATTTTTGCGTTTAATAGCAGAAAATTCTTTAAGTTAATAATTTTGCAAGCTTTGCACTATTTTAACAACTTTTATCATATAATTCAAAGGGAGACTTACCGGTACAATGCCGAAATGACGCTCTAGTACGTCAAAGGCACGATAAACATTGCGCAGCCCATAATTAATATCCAAATTCTGCGCGTCTGGAAAACAGCCAGGTTTTAATTTATTCAGCAAAGTACAGAGTACAACTCCATCTCGCCAGCTTTCGGAAAAGTCTTGTGGTATTCGAGGTAGGTATAGTTCGAGCCAAGTCTGCACTTGTAAGCTTTCGCTTGAACTGAACCAAAGTTCTGAAAGCAAAATAAGATATATATGCATGATATTACAGTAAGAATTTAATTATAAATGTAGTAAGAAATGCTGATGAAATCTGAAGTTTTAACTATGTACGTTGGTTAGGCACTGCTGAAATGTACGGACATCTGTGATTCGGATTGAAATATCAATGAATACATTCCTTCTGCCGTTTAGTGGAAATGAACTATTTTGTGCATTTTAAGGTGTAAATATACAATAACTAAAACTCAAGCAGCCAATAATAATTTTACAGCAATATTAACTATCCAATCAAAATGCTTTGAGAACCAAAACTAACTCAGTTTGACTTGGGATTTTATCCTAAACATTACGCACTTTCTCTCTACGCTTTGCCTTAGCTGGACTGCAGTCTGTCTGCTTCTTCTCTTTTGTTGCAAATCTATCAAAAATGTAAGCCCTTTGGAACAGGCACATTTAATGTGCCGACTTGTGTGTAGCCGCAACGTGTTGCTGAAAATAAAACTGAAGATTTAATCTGCCTTTGCCTCCAATTTCCTGGTCATTATGAATTAACACTTCTACGCCATCAAAATTCCTGTTCCTGAATATATTACATATACAAGGTTTATTAACAGATCATTTTTATGTTAAATCTTTCCTACATGAGAAATTTAATTTAAGTGAGAAAATGTTGGCAACTTCTACCAAAAGCGCATGAACTCTGAGATTTTACCTGCTTTAGATCTGTGCTGATTGTCGGGTTTTGGTTTCTGAATTTGAATTTAATTGCATTAAAAGACAATTAGCATAGCAGCCAGGTCTCTAATTTGATATTGTTTCGTAAATTAATGAAATATTATTGCATTAATATAGAAGCCAATGTTAAGTTTTCTGTTAAGCATTTAAAATTTTGCAACTTCAAAGCAAAGTGCAAATAAGTACTGTTATTTTTACGCTTGTTGTATTTTTGTATTATTAGATTCTATGTTAAAGACGAGACAAGAATAGTCTGGATGTCTAAAAAACTGTCCGTGTGTTCAGATTAATAAAATTAGATTGTAACTTTAAATATAATACTTTTTCTCGATAGAATGAGATTATTCAGAAAAGAAAAGTTTGCTTTAAATTAGAATTACTTAAGGATACTGAAAGTGCTTTTTTTTAAATTTGCTGCATTGAACTATATAATGATAGGTTTTTTATCCAGTATTTTGTACATGGTAGTGAAAAATATCATGCCGTAATAAAAACCACAGTCTTAAAAGAATCATAAGCTAAAACTAACAGTTAAATGAGAACATAACAATATACATCCAAGGTTCCATTAGCTTACGATTTTAAATTAAAATAAATGAAATTTATTAGCCTGTCCATAGTTTAACTTTTGTTGAAGTAACTTCCACAGCGCTTTGAATAGAAATTATTTCATAGACATTTTCAATTAGTAGATATTCAATCAATTAATCAGTATTCAGTCAATCTAATACAAATCTTTATAAGTAAATAATGCATCTATTAGTCTCGATTAGTAAACAACGTATCTAATCTCTATTAGTAAATTTATGTTGGTGCGTTGCACTGTGGAAAAACGGTAGAACCTAAAGTCACAAATTTCGAACATGCGCTAGTCCTTGTACGCTTAAATTTACTTTTCAAATTTAATATATCTGTTACTGAGTAACAAACTAAGCGATTTAAAAGCAATAAACTTAATTCTCAAAAATATTTTTAACCTTCTAATAAAGTATCTTTTTGATTTAAACAAAAAGGCATTTCAGTCATAATATATTTTATTATTATTGTTTTTTAATATGCCATCATCGCTTGTGTTGAATAAAAGTTGAAGAAAAGAGGAAGGGAAATCTGTGACAAAATGTTTGAATAATTTTGAAAGGTTAGTTTGAAATTTAAAATCAAATTACCATTTAAACTTGATAGATTTTGACGAATAAAGTGCTTCAATGAAATCTTAATTTTTGACTCAGATGTTTAAATGCATCGGTATTCTGATTTAAAGTGGCAAACATATTTTTCGTAAAAATTAAAAATAGCTACCATACATATTTTAAAAAATAATGTCATATAACAGCGGTTTTCAACCTTTTGACTAACGCGTTCCATATAAACAAAAATTGGAAACCTTTAATACCACCTCTACAAAGTACTACTACTACCACCACTCTTGAACAAAGCTCAGATCGCATGAATTTACGAGTATTAGAGAAAAAAGCTCAATCAGGATGTTGGGGTTTTAATTTTTGAATTTAATAGTTAAAACTATCTTGCTTCTTTGCATACCACGTATTTTTCTCTTGCGTGCCACCGGCTGAGAACCGATGTAATATATAATTTAGGGAAAAGTCATGTAATGCAAGCATCTCATACTTGTTAAAAAGTTAAAAGAATACATTTTTTAAGAAAACACGAAAGTAACCAGTTTCCGAATTTGTGAAATTCGCTGTAGAATTGTGTTTCTTGTAAGAAAAATCACAAGACTGACTGATAAGTTAATATGAATTCTCGCAATCGGTTAAACCAAGAATTTCTCAGCTTTTTATAGACCGCCTTAATTACATGATTATAAGTCGAAAAAATGCTAATGTAATTTTTAGAATGTTCGTTTTGCAGCGTTTATAATTTTTTAAATTACATATTCTCATCCTGATCTGTAAATTCTACGTAAACTTGACATTCGTAGAAAAACATAGTAAATTTCACCAGACCTTTATTACGCCAAAATGATGATAATATAATGTCCAAATTAATTGGGACAAAGCGATTTTTCGTGGTTGCCAGAGGTCTCTCAAAGCAATTTTAACTGCGTAGAACTAGTTTAGACGATAAATTAGGATTATTGCGCTATTTTAAGCCTGTTCCTGGGAGAAGAGGAAATTACTTCAGCTTGCTTTTTAAGTACATTTTGCATTCGTTCATTTTAGTGAAATAAAAATGGATATAATATCTAGAAAAAGACTAAAGATTATTTCACTTAATAATCATACATCCTTGAATGTAACAAACATTGCTTCCGTTGTCCGTACTGGAAAATCGAGCATTTTTCGAATTCTGAGGAGACACAATGAAACTGGATCATTTTCTCCAGAATGGAAGACCAAATGTGGAAGGAAAAGGGAAACAACTCCAAAATCTGATCGATTCCTGTTTCGAAATGGCATTATTCATCCAATAAAAACTAGCAAAGATCTTAAAAGAGATATATTAGCTATTGGTCCTTCAAACGTGCAGCGTAAATTTCTCACTGCTGACTGGAAGGCGAGAAAGCCTATTAAACAATAACTTTTGGCACATAAAATGAAGCAAAGCGGTTATTGTAGTAAAAAAACTACAGATCTTGGATCACAAATGGCTGGAAAAAGGCCATTTTCAGCGATGAGGCTCATTTATTTGTTCATGGGTGCATATGTAATGTCCTTAGATGAAGGAAGGGTGAATCAATAAGACCTCAACATAGCCGACGAACCATGAAATACTCTCAAAAACAAATATTTTGGGATTTCCTCACTACAGAAGGCATTGGAAATGTACTTCATATTGACGGAATGATGAATTCATTGAAGTAAATAAAAGTTTTAAAACATAGGATTGTGCCATTCTCAAAATCCTTTGCAAGGACATTTCAATACGACTTGGCTCCAGGCCACAATTGAAAATCTGTCAGAAGATTAACGCTGGAAAATAAAATTGCTGTGCTAGATTGGTCTGGAAATTCACCAGACTTAAATCTGATCGAAACCTTGTAGCACATTCTCAAGGAACTTTCTTCAGAGTAAATTTTACGATAAACAGCGCATGATTAAGAATGCTATAAAGTACGATTCCATGATAAAGATGTAATACATGTATCAGTCAATGTCTAAGCGCGCATTAAAGAGGTCATTTGGGGAATAAGAGGCTATGTTTCCTATTAATTTTATTACTATCTCTATATATAAAAGTATGCAGCTAAGTTATCAAAATATTTCTTTGTCCTAATTAATTTGCACATTATAGTATAGCAAATCACGTTTCTCAAAATTTAGAAAGAAATAAGAACTTCGAACAAAATCTCTGTTTCCTCACTCACACACATATAAGCAATCCACTAAAAATGAAACAATCGTTAAAAATTATACGTTGAGTAAATCACTTCAGAGTGAGAGGTTTCAGTTTGATTACATTACTGCAACCTATTTCGTTTCAAATTATTTACATTTTAATAGTAAACATAAAATACCATTAATCAGTTTTTTCCACTTTTTTATATACAGTGTAATTTTGAAGTAAAATTAATTTTTGAATTGAATGTACAATGCAGTTATTTATTATACTAATGATTTTTAATTTACTTTTTAAAGCTGCCCTCAATAAATTGCTGCGACCACATAACTTTAAAATTCAATAAAGTGATAAATTCATAATTTGTTTTTATATTTAGTCACTGTTTGTCGTGCAACTACTTTTTCAAATATTTTTCTGCTAAATTCACCCCTCCAAAAAAAAAAAAAAAAAAAAAAAAAAAAAAAAAAACTTTCTCCGTTAAGAATAAGATTTGCTTGAAGATTTATTCATTCATAAAAATTTATCAGCTACAATTAAATTTTAATTACAGTTCTATGCAACGAAATTGTTTAATATTTATAAATTTTAGAAATTTTGTTCTACGCTTTTTCTTCTCTTTGTTTTACGCAATATATGAAGCTACAATTATTACGTTAATTATTTGTTTATGTTGATTTTTTCTGCTTATTTAAGTCTTGAAATTTTGGCAACAGCACATAATAATTTAATTCCTGAAAGACTTGTGTCCGACTCTTATGAAATACATAAAACACTTTTTTCATCAAAATTAACTTTGATTTATGATTGAATTTTGTTCGGGTTTTAAATACTTGCTCTCTGAAACAGTGGAGGGCTTTGCTTTCAGTTCCGCTTTCGTCGGCTTCCAAAAGAACACAGATTAGTTAATGTATTTAAGATGCAAAGTTTTTGAGTTTGAGAAAAAGCTTCTGGCAGTTATCGTTTGCAATTTCGT